ATGCTGAATTCCAAATAAAAAGGCTAAACTCTAGAAAGCAACAAGAAAAAATTGATATTTCACTTACAAGAAACCCCAATAAGATTAACGGTTGACTTCTCATCAGAAACAATGGAGTCCAGAAGGCAGTGGGATAACAGTCAAAGGGCTGAAAAGAAAAAGCACTGTTAACCAAGTTTCTTAAAGCAAACCTTTCTTTTTAAATAAAGGCAAAATAAAAACATTTCCAGGTAAACAAGAACCGGGAGAATCTGTTGCTGGCAGACCACCTAACAGAAAACACTAAAGTAAGCAAGCTCTGCAAGGTGAAAGCAAGTGACATCAGAGGTGACTTGAATGCACATGAGAAAATGTGGTGAGTACATGAAGGGAATTACTGTATGTGAGTGTTAAAAGGAACACAAAGGCACATTTCTTCTTTTCCCTCTCAACTGACTTAAAAAGCAACTGTAGAAAACAACAAGTACAGGGTTACTTGGGAGCCTTTACCATAGATATGTAATACATGTGACAATAACAACACAAATGAAACTGGAATAGAAGAACTCAAGCTGTTTGAGAGAAGGGAAATGACTACAGGTGCTAAACCAAATCCACTGAAAGAAATAAGAGCCAGGAAAGGTAAAAAAGGTTAATAGAGCAATGCAATAGACAGATATTTGTTCTCCTTTCTTCCCACAAAAACATAAAATTTATACAAAGTAACAATTAGAAAAATAATTATTAAATCTGTGAGATGTACCCACACAATATGTATAAAAATCATGCCACCAAGCCATGAGTAATGGTGCATGTCTATGGTCCCAGCACACTGGGACGCTAAGGCAGGACAGGGCATGTCAGTGCAGCCAAGGCAATCTCGTGAGTTTGGGTCTGTAAATAAAAAAAAAAAAAAAGCTAGGGATGTAGCTCAGTGTGCAGACCTTGGGTTCAGTCTCTACAGCATGCGCACGTGCATGCACACACACACACACACACACACACACACACACACACACAACTATGCCTTTTAAAGAGAAAGAAGGGAACAGAAATACGTGGGGGTCAAGTTTCTCATCTCACCAAAACTGATATAAATTTAAAATAAATTCTGTAAAGTTAAAATTCATACTATAGTGAGATATACTTGTTCATGACTGTAATCTCAGCTATTCAGGAGAATGAGGCAGAAAGATCTCAAGTCTGAGGCCTGCCTGGGTTACTCAGTCTGTGTCTCAAAGCAAAACATAAAAAGGGATGAAAATGTAGCTCAATACAAGGTTCAATCTTCCGGACTAATAAATAGCATGTTGTAAGCTTTAAAGCAACCACTAAGAACTCTCAACATATAATTAAAAGCATGTAAAGGAACAAATGTCAGGGGAAAGGCATGAGGAATATAAAAAACAAAAAGACATAGCAAAAAAAACCACATCAAATATGAAATGTGAATCAAAAATCAATTTAAAAGCAGGATTTCCAGACTGAAATTTTTACAGATCCCTCTTATACACTTTAAATTCAGAAAACAAAGATACACTATTTAAATAGCAAGGTCTACAGGAGATCTGAAGAGGTTATACTAATATCAGAATAGGTTTTAAAATCAAAAGTACTGCTTGAGATAAAGGTGGACACTGCATAAATGATAACAGTGTCAATCCATCAGGAAGATACCACCACTTAACAATGTGCCCCAATATTTTTCCAGAAAACCATCACACCACAGTGGTATTATGTGCACCCATAGTTATAGCAACTTGATTTGTCATAGCTAAATCATAGAAGCAACCTAGATGTCCATTAACTGAGAGGTATTTTTACACAATGGGGTATTATTTGGCTATAAAACAGGGTAAATTTGAGGCTTTTATCAGTAAATGGATGCAACTACAAAACACAAGTGAAATAAATCAGATCCGCATGTGCAAACGTTGTATTGTCTCCTTAATGTGAGAACTTGAAAGAAAGTCTAAAGGGTACAATAAATACTGGGAAAAGGGAATGAACCTATTCAAAAGGAAGGAATTACTGAGGTGAGGAGGACAGGAGAAGTAGTGAGGGAAAGAGATATATCTATGTATATAAGCAGGACAGTTTGGACAAATGTACTGTGGATTTCTGCTGGCCTATGGAAGGAGTAGTTACTGTTTAATTTGTCTTGTCTCCTGTTTTCAATTTTTTGACCTTTTTTTTTTATCTTAATTTCCTATATATCTTTTCCTTTCTTCTTCCAACTTTACATGTGTATATTAGGTAATATGAACAACTAGTTGGAAGACAACACTATGCATTACAATAAATATTATGAAATGTATATTATTTTGTTAAGTAAAATTCTGTATCACTTGTAATTTTTCAGTTTTAATATGATTTTGTATTGTCTTTAAAAAAAAAACAAAAAAAAATTAAAAAACAAAGTGCCCCAAAATGCAAAATGCAAAAACTTGACAGAAATAAGTTAGAGAAAAAACTCAAAAACCGCTGAAGACTTCAAAACCAAGTTCTGTAGTAGACATGGCAATTAGGCAAGGAATAATTAGGGAATCAAAGGAAGGCCCAAGGGGTACCATACACCAACCAGAGCCCTAACAGACAGCTTCTCCTGCACCCAACAAGAAAACACATCTCATAAACATGACTGTTCTCTATGAAAACCACCAGTTAGGCCTCAAAACTAGCCTTAATTTAAAAATATTGAAATCAAAGTATTTTCTGTGATTCCAATGGAAATCAAAATCAATGACAGAAAAAAAAAAAATGAAGAATTCAAAAATATGCAGAAGATACAGTGTATTCTTAAATAATAAATGGGCCAAAACTTCTAGAAGGAAATGAGAAAATAATTTACAATGAATGAAAACAAAGGGCAAATTATGGTTTACAAACATTTATATTTCAAAGTAAAAAAAAAAAAACTAAATTAATTTAGTTTTTCACTTTAAACTAGAAAAAAAGCAAACTAATCCCAGAGCAAGCAAGATAAAAAATAGTGTAACAGTGGAATCATATGAACTAGAAAGTAGAAAAATCAACTAAACCACAAGCTGTTTTAACTTAGTAAAATTAAAAATCCTTTAATTTGTGATTAAAAAAAAAGACAGGACTCAAATACTAACATCAGGAATAAAAGAGGAATGGTGAGCACAGCGATTACAGATACCTCACAGAAATAAAAAGGATTACAAGAGAACACTAAGAAAAACTGTGTGCCAAACTACTTCAATGAGATGAACAAACACCAGCAGATAAACCAAAACTTAAAGACACATAAAAGCTGAATACATTTTTAACAGAAGTTTGAATTAGTAATTTTAAAACTCCAAAAAGAAAAGCCCAGGCCCAGACAGCTTCACTGAGTAACTATACCAAACATTCAAAGATAAATTGATACTAATTCTTTACTCTCTTTAAAAACAGAAGAGGATGGGGCCAGGGAGATAGCGCAGTAGAATAAGTGCTTGCCTGGCAAGTGCAAGGGCCTGAGTTCAATCCCTGGTTCCGCAAAAACAAACAAACAAACAAACAAACAAACAACAAAAAAAGAAAAACCAGAAGAGGAACCTGGTTCCAACATTCACTCATTCATGCATCCATCCATCCATCCATCCATCCATCCATCCATCCATCCATATTGCAGTACTAGTGACTGAACCCAGGGCCTTCCCTTTGAGCTATAGCTCAAGTCCTTTTTTTTTTAATTTTTCATATTGAGACAGGGTCTCACTAAGCCACTAAATTGCCCAGGAAGGGCTTACCTTGAAAATACATCACCCTTCTGGAATACTGGGATTATAGGTATGTACGTCACACCTTGTTCCTATTTTATGAGGCAGGTAGTATCATAGAACAGTATCTTTTTGAACAGAGTCAAAGAAGTCAACATGATACTAGGAAAAAGCATACAGTTATAAAAAGTATTATGCACTATGATCAAATGAGATTCAGTCCAAGGATGGAGGGTTAATCCCACACAAAAATCAATGTATAACAAGAGAATAAAAGACAAAACCACATGATCAACTCCACAGATGTAGCAATGTGTCTAACAAATTCCAACATTAGTTCATAATAAAACAAAAAACCGAAACCATAAACTCAGAACAGCAGAGAACTCCCTTCAGCTATTAAAAAAGACAAGTGGTGTCCATTTAACTGATACCACACTTAATGGTGAAATAACAAAAGCCTTCTTACTAAAAAAAAAAAGACAAGGGGGAGTGGGGGGGCTGCTAAAGCAGGAAGATCACCGCAAGTTTGAGGCCAGTCTGGACTACATACTGAGTTCAAGACCAGCTTCAAGACCAGCCTGAACTACACAGCAAGACACCGTCTCCCCAAAGCAGCATAATAACAAAACAAACAAAAAAAAAAAAAAAAAGAAAGAAAGAAAGCCAAATGTCTCTATTCTTACCAAATTCAGCCAGGGTGATTAGGCAAGAAATAATAAAAAGTAGCAGATTAGAAAGGAAGTAGTAAAAACTATCTGTATTTGTATGCGAATGACATGATCATTTATATAAATTCTAAAAAAATCTAGTAACAACTAGAGTTAAGACCGAGCTCAGCAAAATTGTATGGCACAAGATAAATATGTAATAATCAACTCTATTTCTACAAACTAGCAAAGAACAATTCAAGATTCAAATATGAGACAATTCTGTTTACAATATCATGAACATGAATTAGTGTGGAATAAACCAACGAAATCTAAAATTTGAAGTGTAGATTTTCTCCTCCCCCCTTTACCCCTTTCTCTTTTTCTCTCCCCCCACCACACACACAAAGGCACGCACACACGCTGAAACATACCCCGAAAACTGACGTCTAAGGACGACTTCATGCTTAAGGGAAGCAGCACTGTGGCAGGTTAGTATGCTGTAGACACAGCCATGCTTGGTAAAGCACTCATGTGCACAGCTGAAGGCAACACAGGTGAGAGCGGGACAGCAGAGGGACAGAGCTGCAGAGTGAAATGCAACACACATCTCAAGGGCAACCTCATGCAGCATGGTACATACCCAGATAGGACCGTTTGGGAGGAACTTTGAGTTCTTCATCCTTACTGTCTGCAGCTACATTTTAAAAAAGAATAAAACAGAAAGAAAGACAAAAACAGACTGGTTTTAACACTGGTAAGCCACTGTTTCCCAGCCCTTTTTGCATTTCTTTTAAAAAAAAATCTTGGAACAGGACACAAGATTTTTATGTCCATGCATTAAGAAAACACTTTTTGAATTATTCTCCAAATCTACCTCTATTGATATATTAAAGCATATACTGGAAAAGGAAGGAAATGATGGATCAAAACGTTTACAAATTACACTTTCACTTCATTTCCAAAGACAGTAAAAAGCATGACATGTGTGCTCTGGCAACAGAAGGCACGATGACTGACTCCACTTCTCTTGTCCCCACACCAGCAGCATGCAAGCCAGAACAACAGAGCTGGTACAGGGCTGAAATACTTCCACAGGTTGCTGATAAAGCTATTTCAAAGCATACGGGGCAACGTGCCCACTGCAAAAAGGCAGCTGGATCAACATGTGAATTTGAAATACATACAGTAGAGACTGCATGACACAGATATTCAGCCAGAGCATGCATATCCAGGGGACAACCCAGAATCCTGAAATAACCAGTTACAGTTCAACCTCCCTCCTATGTGCTGTCCCAGGTCAGTAACCAAAGGACATGGTCAGGACCCCTCTTCTGCAGAACATTCCTGTACTTCAGGATGGAAGTGGCTAAAATAGGAATGGGATCACAGGTTATATGTCCACAGCCTAGGACAGTGGACTCTATCTTAAATTGCAAATGTCACAGGTAAACAGCTAAAAACAAACATTAGGTGACCTCTGCCACTGGATGCTGGTCTACTCACAGAGCAGGTGCCCACTGAAGGCTGCTTATGTAAAGTAATGACCTTTCCCCATTCTGAAGTTTACAGAACAAGCATACTAGTAGTTTCCCTCTTGTCCCATACCCTCCCCATTCACTGGCACCTCCTCTATAGATTAAGAACCACAACAGGGAAGTTGGGCATGGTGGCAAACGCCTGTAATTCCAAGGTGGAGGTAGAAAGATCACAAATTTGAGCCAGGCCTGAACAATTTAGCAACTTAGGAAGGCTCTGTCCCAAAATTCTAAAAAATTAAAGAGGCATCAGGGAGGTAGTTTAGGGCAAAGGTCCCAGGTTCCATCTCCAGTACTGCAAATAAACAAAAGTCCAAAGGAGGGGAAGACAAAAAGAAAACTTATCAGAACATTCTGGCACAAACCATGGTCACAGCATGGGCTTAAATCAAGAGTCAGAGAGGGCATAGGCTAGACACAGATCAGCTAAGAAATTTAAGCTCAGGCCAGGAAGACACTGGGGTCCTGCCCTCTGAGTTGAGAAGCCAGGCCAGTTGTGGATGGTCTTTGAGGCTAAGTCTGACAGGGCTGGAATTATGGCCAGCTAACTATGTGCCTCCCTCCCCCAGCCGACTATATCCAACACAAAGCTCAGTGGTCTATTTTCTTTCCCCATCTACTCATGATCAGGGATACATTTCAGCTTGAATGGTTGCCACAGGTTAGGGTATATGACAGAAGGGCCTTGGCAGCAAGTAGTAGGAAGGGGAACTTCAAACCCACAGGCCAAGAGCTACGCAAACAAGACTGTGCCACGGGTGCACAAAGGGACACGGAAACTGGGAGCTGCTGGAGTGAATACAGCCTGACCAGACACCATGGACAACCACACCCAGCAGGAAAGGCAAAGCAGGATTCAGCATTCACACATAAAAATGTGAGTGTGCAATCAAAATAGGCCTGAGTAATGACTCAGAATCTTTCCTTCATCTGGTTCCAGTTCTGGTTCCAGTACTGCATGCAGGTTCTGGAAAGACATCACTCAAAAACACTCATTTTTCTTTTACTCATTAGCTTTTAGAGGTTAGGGACTTTTTCTTTTATTCTCCTCTTTTTTCTGTTTTGTATTTTTTTTTCTTTTTCTAGTTTTTTTTTTCATTACTATGATCTAATTCTATTAATGTTTTTTTACTGCTGAATAAGATCATTTAATTCCAGAGAAATAGATATGATTTCTATATATGTATGAATCACCAAAACTGAACCAAGAAAATATAAAAGTTCTGAATAATTCAATAATATACAATAGAATTGAAGCAGACAAAGGTACAAATCAAGAAAAATCTAGAACCCAATGGATTCACTGCCAAATTCTTTAAGAACTTAGGGAAGATTTAATTCCAACAGTCCTCAAACACTTTAATAAAATTCAAAGGGAAAGGGTACTCCCAAAACCATTCCTAGAATGTAGCATTATCCTTACTCCAAAACCAGACAAGGATCCATTCAAAAAAAGAGAGAGAGCTACCAAAAAGATACTGACAAATAGAATGCAAACAAATCACCAAAAAGATCATATATCATGACCAAGTACATTCACCCAAGGGATGCAAGGATGGTTTAACATACACAAATTAATAAATGTAATATATCACATAAACAGAACCAAAGACAAAAACTTCGTAACCATCTCAGTAGACATAGAAAAAGCCAATGACAATATTCAATATTCATTAATGATCAAAACTCTTAAGAAAATAGGTATAGAAAGAAGTCAGGTGTGTTTGTGCATGCCTGTAACCCCTGAACTCAGGATGCTGAGGCAGAAGGATTGCTGTTCAAGACCTGCCTGCACTACACAGCAAAGCCCTATCTAAACAATAGAAAGTACAGAAGGGCTTTATCTCAATCTGATAAAAGCTATGTATGACACTTACTGCGAACATCTTTTTCATCTTTTTTTTTTTTTTTTTCTTTTTGAGACAGGGTCCCCTATGCAGTTCTTGCTGACCTTGAGCTCACTAGCCCAGGTTGGTCTAGAACTCAAAACAATCCTCCTGCCTCAGCTATCCTCTAAAGTGCTTGAATTACAGGTGTGCACCACCACACCCAGCTTACCAACATCACATTAAATGGGCAAAAATTGAAGGTTTTTCCTGTAAATCAGAAACAAAAAAAAAAGATGTTCATGGACTGAGGAGATGGCTCAGTGGAATAAGCACTTCCCTGACAAGCACAAGGGCCTGAGTTTAATCCCCAGTTCCGCAAAAAAAAAAAAAAAAAAGATGTTCATTATCATCACTCCTTTTCAATATAATTCATAGAACTTTAGCAAGAGAAAATTTAAAAGAGAGATGTGTAAGAAAGAAGCTAAACTATCCTTACACATACATAACATGATCCTTTACATGGAAGACTCAAAAACTCCACAAAAGATTCCTAGCACTAATAAATTCAGCAAGGTACCAGGATACAAAGTCAACTCACAAAAAACAGTAATGTTTTTGTACACTAATAATGAAAACAATACTATTCACAATAATCTCAAAATACTTAGGAATTAGCCTAACGATGTGAAAGACTTTAAAACAAAAAGTATAGTACTCTGAAAAAAGAAGATTGAAGAGGACATCAACAGGATATCCCCTGTTCCTGGATAGGAAAAACCAAAATGGTCATACTTTTAAAACAGATAGATTTAATGTAATCCCAGGCAAAATGCTAACAGCATTCCTCACAGAACTAGAAAATCCAATCAGTATGGAATCAGAAAAAAAAAAATCTAGATTAGCAAAACAATCATGGACATTGGGAGGAATCATAATCCCAGATTTCAGGCTCCATTACAGAGTTACAGTGATTAAAAACAGCACAGTACTAGGACAAAAACAGACATGTGGATCAGTAAAACAACAAAGGATGCAGAAACAACTCTAGACACAATCATATGATCTTTGACAAAGGGGTCAATTTACACGCTGGGAAAGATAACCTTATTAACAAATGGTGCTGGGAAAACTGGCTATAAATATGCAAAAGATTGAAGTGAGACTCCCATCTCTCACCATGCACACTAAACTGAAGTCAAAATGGATCAAAGATCTAAATGTTAAAACAGAAACACTTAACCTGCTGGTAAATAAAACATAGAAAAACCTTGAAGACATCAGCAGAGGCAGAACTCTGAGTAGAATTCCAATTGTGCAAAGAATGGAACCATATCAAACTTTAAAAATTCATCACAGCAAAGAAGATAAATAACAGAGTGAAAAGACAACCTACACAATGGGAAAATATTTTGCCAGCTACTCCTTGTTAGACAGAAGTCTAACATCTAGAATATATATAATCTAGAATATATATATATATATAAAGAACTTAGGGGCCGGGGAGATGGCTCAGTAGAATAAGAGCTTGCCTGGCAAGCACAAGGTTCTGAGTTCAATTCAGGGTACCACAAAAAAAAAAAAAAGAAAGAAAGAACTTAAAAAAAATTATACCCTTCCCCAAATAAAAGACCTAATAAACAATAAAATTAAAAATAAGCAGCTGGATGTCGTGGTATACAACTGAAATGTCAGCATTTAGAAGGCTGACGCCAGAGGATTGCCACAAGAGCTAAGAGGTCAGCCTGGGCCACACGATGAAAACCTGTCACAGGAAAAAAAGAAAAAGGACAAATTTGAGTCGTTTGTAGAAAAATAGATGGACCTTGAGACCATAACATTAAGTGAAATAAATGAACTACACAAGCTTAAATAGCATGTTTTCTCCTATATAAACAACCCAAAGCATAAAGAGCAAAATAAATAAAAAACAAAAAAGATAGTTTAAAAGACAGGAAATACGAAGTAGGGAGATCATGGCAAATGAGACAGGAACCAAGAGATAAAGGGAGGGAAAAGGTTGGGGAAGAAGATGTAAACACAATTAAACCATACTGTGCATATATAACAACTCCCTTTGATGAGGGTAATCATCAAGTATTGCAAATCTGTACTTACAAAAATATAAAAATGAAATTTAAAAGAAAAAATCAAAGTTAAAATTTTAGAAAACAAACATAAGTGAAAAAGACATGAATGAAATGCATCTGTTATTTATCTAACGATACACCACACAAAGAGGCTCTGTTCCCAGCATCTTAGTGGGATGTGTCTGAGGGATATGTGATGCAGAGCATAGAACTGCCCCGACCAAACCACTGTCCCAGAAACCATCTTGCTGGCATTGTTGCTCTCACGCTGTGGCAAGCAGTGTGGACCATAGCAAGCACAGATGACGAGCCTCCTGTTACACTTGGGTTCCTGAGAAATGGTGTCCGAACATGCGTAGGGCAGAGAGCCGAGGCATATGCTCAGTAAACCCTGAGGCCTGGGATCGAACAGGGAGAATTAGTACTATGTGTAGTCTCTCTGGGTCTGTGGTTCCACCTCTGGAGTGTGGGCAGAGCCACATGCAGCAGACAAACTCCAGCTCGTAGCAGACAGTGCACACAGAAAGAAGGCTGGGCAATACCTAATGATTAAAAAGACCTTCAAAAAGACCTATGTTGGCCAGGTGCAGTGGCACACATCTGTAAGCCCAGCAACCCAAGAGGCTAAAGCAGGAAGATCACAAGTTCAAGCACTCCCTGAACAACTTAGTGAGATCCTGTCTCAAAATCCCGCCCCCCCCCCAAAAAAAAAGAACGGGGACATAGCTCAGCAGTCAAACATTCCCCAATGCCATAAAAAACCGACAATTTAAAAAGACAAAAAACAACAACAAAACTGACCAAAGAAAACATTTCGGCCAGTATGCCCATGCCTGAATTCTGATTTAAGAAAACAAAGTAGCAAAAGAAATAGGAAATACAAGAGATAATCAGAAATCTGTATACAGTTGGGAAGGTGCTAATAAGAGACTCCATTTCTCAGCATGCCACTGGTGCTTCCTGCAGCCCTTACCTTCCGGAAGCCCATGAATCACTGACCATGTAACAATAATTGAAATTTGCTTCATTGTTAAATAACTCAAGTCTGCAGGACTAGATATGAAATGGAGTTCAGAGATAGACTCAATCACAAAATCACACAGGGGGCTTCACTTTACTCTTTCCTCAGTTCAGTAAGTGTGTGAAATTCTCCATAACTAAAAGCCAACATGAAAAACAGATCACCCCACCCCCACACTCTGTGCAGATGCTCACTCTGGTGCAGCACAGGCAAGCACATGGTTTCTGCCACTCTCCACAGGTGACAACCTGGGCTCTGTGGCCTCCCCATCCCTGGAATGAGCAGGGGCTGGGGAAATGTCTTAGTGGTATGAGTTACTTTTAAGATTCATTATAATGTTGAAAATTATGCAAATTCTATGACAGGTCAAGGAGTGATAAGAAAAAAAAAACACAACTTAAGAAGGGTTGCCCAAATGTCCAAACTAGTCAATGCTATTAGCAGAAGCTATTTTACTCTCACTTTATAGTCTTGTCTTCCTCAAGATGTGTACAAGAAGCATGCAACCCAGATGTTTTTTGCAGTCAGCAACAAATTACATGTTTAATTTATAAATTAAAACTTCTTTCTTATTTTTCTTTAATCTTTACTTGCAAACTAAACTTTCTAAATTTAAAAATCACTAAAAAAAGACAGGTAAAAGAAGGTATGGTGGTACATACCACCTGCAACCCCAGCTCTCTAGGAAGCTGAGACAGAAGGAGCTTCAATTACAGTCTGGACAGCTCAATAATTTAGCAAGGCCTTGTCTTAAAATAATGAAAAAAAGGTTGGGAAGTAACGCAGTTCAAAGGCCCTGGGTTCAATTCCTGGTTCCAGAAGGCAGGGAGGGGAGAGAAGTTGTCTGTCCTATGAGAACAATGAAATGTGTCTTTTCAAAAGTTTCTTCATATATTAGTTCTATATTCATCAGTTTGCCAGGAATCCTCAGCTTCCCAAGGACCACAGCACCACCCTAGGGCATCCTCATTCTTGGGATGGCAATGTATTATGAACCAACAACCTTCCTGGGAAGTTGAGCCACTTCCAAGAAAATGAAGCTATCACCTTCCCGGCACAGCAGCCATGCAAGTGCAGAGCCAAGGCGGCAATGGGCTGACACCGGAGAAGGCAGCCTGAGTTTCTGGTCTTTCTACACCCTCCCCCACTCCTGCCAGAAGAGAGAAAATGAAGCCACATGCATGTTTCATTAAATGTGACCTCCAAAATAGGTGGGGGCTGTGTCTTAGTGGACATGGAATTATACAAATTTTAATAATACTCAAAAAGATGTAAACCTCAAGAATTCTTAAACATAGCTGTTCCAATATAGGTTTAGGAAAGAGTGTAGGCTCTAGAAGGGAGCTCAGGATGTAAAGAAGTGTGGGGTTCTGATGCTTCTTTTGAGGAAGGCTCTATGGGTAAACCAGAACAATATTCCTACCTTAAGCTCCCTAACCCAAACCATATCTGCAGAGTCCCTTTGCCATGCAAGATCCCTGAGATTAGATGGACAGCTCTGGAACTGTTATTCTACTCACCACTTCTCTAAAGAATCAGAGTCCAGCTCTAGCCCTGGAAAGTGGGATTTACTATTAGGAATCCACAACCACTCTCTTTTGTCTAGATCCCCTCTGTTGAGACTACAAGAAGGTGTCTGTATACTTAGGAAGCTGCTCTCCCTGCACTTGCTGGTGAAGGTCAGATGAAAGGCAGTGTACAGTGCTGGTTCCAAAAGAGAAATAAGTATTTAGCACTAGGTTTGCTACACTAGCCTGCTGCATGTGACCTCTGGTATTGGCCAGCATCAAAGCATACACATGACTTCTCAAATGAGGTCAGAAAACCTGCTCTGGTGTTCACAGCTCAGGACAGCACGGACATTTAATGAGTCACATGGCATGTGGGGCACAATCTTGCCCTCTCAGCCTCTGGATCCTCCCACATGGGAACAGGATGGAGGAACCCTCTGCCTTCCTGCAGTTAGTTAAGACATCCTGTCCCATGTTAAGACCAAGGATCAGAGGGGCGTAGATCCAACCAGGAGGATGCCTGGGCACAGGGAGAAGGGGCAAAGCTACGCAAGACGCCCCAGTTACTTCATCAGTGATGTGAAACCACAGCTCTTTTCCTTGCATAATACCTCTGAGCCACTTAAAAAGCTCTGCTTCCCAGGCAGGATTAGCAACATAAAGCAGCACCAGCTCTGGGATAATTTAAACCCAACTTCAAAAGAAAGGCAGAGAACAGACACAGAACTCAGAAGAGAGGAGAGATTTTACTGATGGAAAGAAAGGATAAAAAATGCACCAAAAACCAGTATTACTTATCACCTTCATAGTAAAAATGACACCAATTGATCCAGACAACTCATCAGAGCAAGAGGCTGAGCCACTTTCTACAAAGACTAAAACTGGCACTGTTCATCTCCTTCTACAAACAGATGCACATAGAAAAGGAGAAGGGAGGGACCTATTAGTGGGTAGTAAATACTGATCAGAAATAAAACTACAGGGCCACCAAGTCCCCAACAGGATCCTAGCTCCTCAGTAGCCCCAAAACTAAACAAACTGGGGAAAATTTTTCTCTAAGCAACTGCTGATATTACATGCAGTCTTGGATTTAGTAAATAGAAAGGAAAAACAAGGAAGGACTTAATCCTTCCATGTATGAGAAGCGTGCAAGTTCAAACACAAAACATCAGATCAGAAAGGAACTTCTACAACACAGTAGGCAAAAATAGGAAAAATAAATTTTTATTTCCTGAGTTGTCAAAAATCAAAGAGTGGCCAGGGAGATGGATCAGTGGAATAAGCGCTTCCCCGGCAAGCGCAAGGGCCTGAGTTCAATCCCTGTTTCTGCCAAAAAAAAAAAAAAAAATCAAAGAGCGACATGCGCTAATAAGAGCCTGCTAAGTTTGTAACTGTCGTGCACTGACCAAAGAACCACAGAGTATGCACATCCTATATGTGTAGTCCTGGGAAAGGAGTTGCGCTGACCTGCCAATGCATGAGTGGTAGAACATTTAACAAGGTATGTGGGCTACACATGGTTAATGATAACCATAAGGATGTGAACTGCATATAAATCACACAGGGCCAAGGTGCAGACAGAGGCTTACTTCTGGTTCTCATACAGCATCAGCATAACAAAAGAGGAGGCAATGATGAATTAATACTTCACCCACATTCTAATGTAGAAACTCTAATCATGAATTGTTTCCCACGACAAAATGTGTAAAGTTGTTCAACATCCTGAAAACACCGTCAATTACCAAGTCACCACTTGGTGAAATGAAAGCTTCTTAGAAAACATTAAAGTGGCTTTTATTTCACCAAATAAAGAAAGGACAACTTTGTTGATTTGGTAAGACTTTATTTTCAAAAGTTATTAACACCAACCTGCAAAGGAGCGGCGTTTTATGTTCAGCTCATTTGCCACGCGGACCTCAGTACAGAGTTTCAGCATCAGCAACATGGTCAGGATCATGATTATGCTCTGCCAAAGGAGGGGAGACTCAAAGTGCCTTCCAAACCTGGAGAGGTGAAGAGACCACATGTCAGGGAGGAAGGTGGACGCCAGCCTCTACCAATATATCTACAGGAACCTCTCCTTGGCCAGGTCCCATGCCACAACTGGGGAAAGAGCCCCTGGGAGGGATCTGACACCCACTGTGGCCATGGCTATAGCCTTTTATGAACTCAAGGTAGAAGCAGCATAAGATCGGTAGCTCAGACAAGTGCACCTTCAGATCTCACTGACTTGGAGTCAGTCCCAGGTCTGCTCAGGAGACAGCAGCCCCCTGAACCATTCACTTGGCTACTGTGACAAGGAACTTGCCAAAGTCACACCATAAATTAAAACCAAAAAAGCTGTTCACAAAATTCAGTGGTGACACTTTTGTCAGCAATTTATAAAAGCCAAAAGTAGACACAACCTGGTATCACAGCTCTCAAAGTGTGTGACTGAAATCTGCTTACACAATAAGAAAAACTATGGTATAGCATACAGTCAGCACAGACAACCAACCTCTAGTTCACGCAAGTATTACCAGTCAGCACCTGCAAGCTTACAAATACAATTCACTGCAGAAGTGAATCATAACCCACTGAAGCCTCTGGGGGCAATCACACTCCTCTAATGGGGACTTCTTGGGGCAGGAGCTTCCAGCCCTGGTAAGCTAGCCAAGCAGGTAAGAATATGTGGCTTAAACAGTGGCAGATGCTAAGTCAAGTTTTCTCAATCCCTAACCAGGAAAGTCTGAGATCTTCTCCTGGGGTTGTGGGGGAGCAAAGACAGAATCCTCAGATTCTATTATGAACATTCTGTGTAGCTCCCTAGGGAAAAGGCCTCCACATGTTTCCTGGGAGCTTGTGAACCCAAACAGCTAAGCAGTCACCTAAGGTCAAGGAAGTTCTGGGAGCTAATGAGAAAGCAGAGGGGTGAACTATCTAGGTCTAGGTGGTTACAGGGACCAGGGCACAGACAAAGACAGCAGCTGCATCCCCAGAAATGTCACCTAGACTCCTGTGGCTTCATCAGTTCCCCACCCCATGAGGCCATCAGGAAATACAGGTGAGGAATCAAGACAAACTGATGCCAAGATAGAGCTGATGAGCTAAACACCAGGTGAAGACAAGGTCCAGCTGGGAAGATGTACAGCAGTTGTGACAGACTTCTGGGCCAGAGGCCAAGTCGGTGTGCAGCAGACTTATGCGCTCTGCCTATAGGTAGGTCTCGTCACCGTGCTGCTACCCACAGGCCTCAGCACCTGCGACACAGCATCTCCAAGCCTTTGTCCTTCACCTGTGAAGGACAGATTCTAAGCCTCAGGTGTTGGGAGAACACAGAGCCAGGCCAAGGGCCTCTTCTAGAAACTGCTGTCCATTGACTACGTGGGTGACCAACTCATGCATGCAGAGGTCGGGTGGGCCAAGGCCCACTGAAGGCACTAAATGAGGCACATGGAGCTGGTCATTCCAGAGGAAACTATGTGGTTGCTGCCACATCCTGAGCTGGTCAACACCATAATAAAATGACCTACTTTATCACAAACCCAGCAGAGACCTTTCAACCAAGTTCACTTCTAGTTATATGGGCCACTGGCTAACAGCATTTCCAGACCATTGTGACTTAAAAGTCACTTCTGTTTTTCAAATGACCAACAGAAAAAATGAGGACAGAAAAACTATATTTAAAAAAGGCAAAAGTTTTTTACACTCTCCATAAGCCACACCAAAATGACCCACACCAAAATGACCCACACCAAAATGACCCACACCAAAATGACCCACACCAAAATGACCCACACTGGGGCCAGGGAGATGGCTCAGTAGAATAAGTGCTTGCCTGGCAAGTGCAAGGGTCTGAGTTCAATCCCCAGTTCGGCCAAAAAGGAAAAAAAAAAAAAAAGAAAGAAAAAAATGACCCATACTAATGACCCTCTGTCCTTGTTGGCCAGTGTTTTCCTCTTTAAGAAGGAAAACACCACATCTTAGAGACAGGAACATTCTGCTCCTGTGGTGATATGTACACAACTTCTCTTCCATCCCAGTTTTTCTCTTGGCTTGGAACATGGAGAAGTTATCCCCTGTAGAACTCTTTGCTGTACTTAGACCTTATGACTAGATCTTGTCAGATCCAGATGAAGCGGACATTTACAGTAAGGAGACCATTTGACATGAAGTAAGCGACCTGGGCTATTTAGCTGATTTTAGGTGAAGGCAAACTAGGTCACAAAATTTCAAAGCTCAGAACTTTCCACAAAAATACACAAGGGCCAGGGAGCTAGCACAGTGGAATAAGTGCTTGCCCAGCAAGAACAAGGTCCTGAGTTTGATCCCTGGTACAAAAAAAAAAAAAAAACAAAACCCCACACAGGGCAAAATGAAACAGAAAACAAAGTTCAACCTCATTCATTTAAAAACACAATTTAAATAGAAAGATACCATTTTAATTATCAAATTTAAGTCTGGTTGGTGAGGCACTTGCTCACTTCTGCCTGAGACTGGGTTATCACAGATCCTGTGAGGCAGATCCTTCTGCACAAAGGGTACATCTGCGCCACGCAGCAGCTCAAGCAAGATTTCCTCCCCAACTGGGTTGCACACAGTGGGATGGGGGGAATGCACAAGGTCTAAGTACAGCAAAGAGTTCTACAGAGGACAACTTCTCCATGTTCCAAGCCAAGATAAAAACTGGGATAGAAAAGAAGCTGTGCATTTACTCCCCACCCAACACTAAAGCCATTACCTCAGGAGCAGAATGTTCCTGTCTCTAAGATGTGCCGTTTTCCTTCTTACAGAGGAGAACCCTGACCAACAATGACAGAGGGTCGGCACCCAACCTGTACCCTGCCTGCCTCCCATAGCATGGAGAGCAAGAACTTTGTTGGTGGAGCCCATGGCTCTGGGACTCAACAATGAAGCCCACCCTCCTTGCTCACTGACCCTGGCCCCTCTCTGCTTCCCTATGTAATCGGAGCCCACAAATACTACCTACAGGGATCACTTGGCCTCTGATGCCACAAATGCCAATTCCCTCAGTCCGTAACTCTGTGTATAGTATATCTATTAAATGCTAGTTTTGCAAAAAAAAAAAAAAAAAAGAACTGTAAGAAATAAGGGTATTATGAGAGTTATGAAATTCTCAATGCCCATAAGTTTACAGTTAAAAGAACCACTTCCTATAGGATAGTAAAACCAGCAAGAGTAGGATATACTTCCCTGAAAGGCCTGGAGCTCTAAAGTCTGGGATGATGCCAGCACTGGAAGCTGCTGAAGATTCTAACTCCACCACTGTCTTACAGTTGAGGCAACATCCAACTCATGGGGAGCTTGTCACAGTCCCAATCAACTCTCCTTCCTCCACCACTCCCAACTCATAACTGTGCGTACATGTGAGGGGGACGCACATGCACGTGGTATGGTACATGTGCTAAAGCATAAACCCTGGGGCCTCAGGCCCTGTCTGGCACATGGGAAACTCTCACAACCTCTGAATCAGACTAACCTGGATCCTGGAGATCAGCAGGAATGACAGCTGCAAAAGGCTCCAAAATGAGAGATAAAAGGGTTGTCATGCAGCCTTGGAGCAACAAGATCTCTACAGCCACAAGCACAGGGCCTGCCTTGACAGGGAGCACTGGATGAGTCGTGAGCTAACTCCAAGACATTGCTGCTCAGATGTATAATAAATACATTATTTTCTTTACAATTTTAAACAATAAGCACACTGAAGGAAAACCTTGTAAGTGGATCTTCTTCCCATATGCTAATCGAACCTCCGGCAGTTCTCCATTATTTTGCAGGAAGCTTATTCCACAACCCTTAAGATAAGTACAATGTTCCTTCGCAATCTGAACACCGGGTCTGGCAGACCTGGACAACCTGCCTAAGGGACTGCACCCCACTTCCTGTGGTCAAAGTAAACAACAGCTTTAGACAATTATATTTAAGGATCTGCTTCCATTTAACCTTAGACTTAATTCAGGCCACTTCAGTCCATCAAATCACAGTCATGTAGCACTGGGGTCCATTTCCTAGGTCCTTCATGTGAACGTACAAGACAAAGAAATCTTGAAAACAGTTTAAATTGTAGTTAAACAAAATGAGGAACTCGAACTTCCTCAGAAGTAGCTCAGCCCAGAGAGAAACCCTGAGGTGATATTTCCCAATGTTGCTACAGCGGCCAAGCCACCCTCAACCGCAGAGTTCAGTTCTCCAAGGACAGGGGTGGTCAACTCACTAGTTCACCTTCTAAAAATACCAGGCAGGAGCAAAACACCCTCCCAAGGGCACTGTAGATCTATAGCTGTCTAGGCCAAGGGCTAGCACAGCACAAACGAAATAGAAAATTTTTGGCTCATAAACTCAAGGTGGACATATTCATCAACTGTATACATTTTAAGTCAGTAAGATTGATTTAAACACTAGTAAAAACAATGAACGTGATTAATCAAACAGTGACCAAAGAATCAAGAACAGAGTTCTGACAACAGCTGCCTGGGGCCTTTCTTCCTGGCTGACCATCCTCTTGAGTTCTGCAAGCCTTTCCTCTGTGCACAGAGACCTAGAAACCACCCAGAAGTCTTTTTTTTTTTTTTTTACCGAGGATGTGGCTATTTATATCTTCATTTCTTCTGAAAATTCACCCTTCATATTACATTTGGCTTCAACTGTTACAACTAATTTCAACACCAGGGAGGTAGCACAGAGGTAGAGTGAGTACTAGCCACAAGACAAAAAAAAAAAAAAAATAACTTCAATTTCCTTAACAGAATCTAAAAACAGTATGAGGAAGCTGGCCCAAGAGAAACAAGAAAAAAAGAGGAGAGACTCAAAGATTCTGTCAAAAAAGGCAGAATCTGACTGTAAAAAACAAAGTCACACAAGGAGGTAATGACATCCAGAAGATCCTCTCTGCCACCCTTACGCATTTCATTGTCTTCTCCCGCCCCGCCCCCATTAGAAACTAAAGGGCAGGTAGAGTCCTAGGACAATGCCCACAGGGAGGCCCCAGGAAGTACCAGATGAAGGAAAGCACAGCATTACATAACGAGGCAAATGTGGAGATTAAATCTGAGATTCTCAGTTCCACCTTTCCTAGAGAACTCTCATCCCCAAAAGTCCAGTGAGTCTGTTGAGGCCACAAGGCTGGCGAACCCTAAAATGGTCGCCCGAGTCACTTAAGGTGATGGAGTCTCTATAGGAAGTAAACAGTTCTACCCCACCCCTCATTGCATCTAATACCCAAGAGCAGAAAGCCACCTCTCCAAAAAACACCCCAGATAGGAAAGTCCCCAACTTACCAGAAGAGGATCCGTAAAATATTGGCCACCAGTAGCACCAGACACACATGAGTTGAGAAACCGTCGGCATTCTGTGTCCTCCGGATATCCCTGTACTGCGGGATGTACGGCACCACCCCTCCAAAGACTATGGCCCCAGAGGCCCCCCAGGAGACCAGCTGATGCAGCGGAACCAGAAGCCAGCCCAAGCCTTCGGCCTCCATGCTGAGCTCCGGACTGCCCCGCCGGCTGGCGGGCGTCCACCTGGCCAAGCCCTGCGCGCTCACTGGCTCCGGATCCTCACGCTGCCGGTCACCTCCACATTGCGGTCGCTAGCCTAAGCAGTTAGTTCTCCAGCATCCGGGCCTGGCGAGGGAAAACAGCAGTGAAAAAGTCCTGGCAGAATGCTGGCCAGCGAGGCAGGGCCTGGGGCGACAGAGAAGACAGAGCTCCAAACCTATAACCCTAGAGCCGAGGGCGGGTCCTCCAGGGACCGCGCACCCAGCCTTCCGCTTCGACTACGGGGAGAAGGGCGCAGAGTGCAAGGCCGGATGGGGAGTGTGAGACGACAGCAAGGGACGGAGGAGGCTCAGGCCCGGGATCCGGGAGAGGGACGCTCAGCGGGGAGAACGGTGGGCGGCGCGGTACAGCCGCCGGGGACAACCCAGGCCCGCAGCGTGTGGGGGCGGGGAGCGGCTGCGACCCAGACAGAGGCACTTGACCAGGGCGGGGTCGTAGTCTGTGGCCCCCTTGTCCCAGGGCGGCTCTGCGCGGACCCGGAGGAGAGGCGGGACAGAGCCGAGAGAAGCTCAAGGCAGACCGCGTGCCGACTCCTTACCTAAGCGATGCCTTCCCCGCGCCCGCACGTCCATCTGCGCACGGAGCCCCGCCCCGGTGATGTCACAATGGTGAGCCCCGCCCCCTCGGGCCTCGGGGCGGTGCTGCTGGGCTGCAGGGTCTTAGCGCGCTTCAGGGAAGCCTGCGTGCTTGTCCCCACTGAGGGCGAGGCGGAAGAAAGCGCGGTGATGCTGGGCCCTGCCTGGGCGGCCAAGGTTGAGAAATACCTTCCGGCCAGGTGTCCACGTGGCTTCTTCAGCAGCAGCCCCAGCTCCGGAGAGGCGGTGTAGACCCGGTGAGCGGCCACAAAAGCGAAGGACTTAGGCCCTGGGTGTCTGGAGGGTGTCCTGTCGCCACAGCCAGCACCGAGCCTAGGACACTACCCTCGCAGTGACCCAGCAGACACCCACTCATTTCCAAGCACAGCTGCCCACAGGCCGTCATCGAGGTCAGCGTTTGGCAGACAAATTTATTGACCACCATTTCACTGCGCCTGGACTGGCGTCTGCACTCCACAATTTGATGAGACTCTTCTCCACTCCTCAATTATATGAGGTCAACCACAGGAGGCACATTTACAGAACAGAGGAATTCCTGATAGTATCACCTGATCTCAGGATGTATGCTGGCTGCCTGAAAGTGGCACAGTCAGCGGAGCCCACAGCTTCACCAACACCATTCCTGACTCTGGAGCAAGTACCCTCTCCCAGAAGACACACTGCACTAGATGCCATCTCTGAGGGCCTGGGCCTGGGCTCCCTCAGCCGGTACACTGCTTTTGAAGCTTGCCTGTAAGATCAAGATGATAAAAATTGGGGCTGGGGAGATGGCTCAGTGGAAGAAGTGCTCCCCTGGCAAGCGCAAGGGCCTGAGTTCAATCCCCAGAAAAAAAAAAAAAAAAAAAAAAAAAAGACAAAAATTATTCATCTGAAAAGGAAGAAACTGCTTTTTTTTATGTATTTAGTACAGGGTCTCACTACACAGATCGAGCTTGTAGTGGTCCTCCTGTTTTCAGCCTCCCAAGTGCTGGGATTATAGGTGAGCAGCACCACACCCAGTCTCAGTCATGACATGTGGAACCAGGGATTGAACCCTGTCCCTGCATTTGCCTAAGCAGGAGCTTTAATCCGCAGCGCTATCTGGCTGCCCCAAAATTCTGCTTTTCCACTTCCTGCTTCATTTCCACACAATTGTAGAACACAGATGGGTCAGGAATGTGCTTGGAGGTGCCTGTGAATATTTCCATTTCTGTAACATCTTTGAAGTGCCATCCATGAAAAATAGTGAAAAGATTAATGGTTGCCACACCATGCTGAAGATAGTTGGGGGAGGAGGTTATTGGGCTATAAAGGGGCAACACCAGTGTTCTTGAAGTGATGGAATATTCTGTATCTTGACTGTGATCATGGGTATACAAGCCCACGCATGGGATGAAATTACATGGACCTAAACACATAAGTACAAGACAACCAGGCAACATGAACAAAATGGGTGGTTACACAAGTCTTGTCCTCCTTGTCATGCAGTGCTAGACTTCGCAAAATATAACAGTGAGGGAAACTTGCTAAGGGACATAGAAGGTGTACATTTTTTGTAACTTTTTAAAAAATAACTCCATGTTGGGGTTGGGGAGATGGCTCAGTAGAATAACTGCTTGCCTGGCAAGTTCAAGGGCCTGAGTTCAATCCCCAGTTCTGGAAAAAAAAAAAAAAAAAAATCCATGTGGATCTACAGTTGCCTCAAAGCCACAAAAAACTTAAGTAGTATAGTACTAAACTACCATCCCATAGTAGAGACTTCACAGTAGGACTGGCTTCATGTACCACACAGGCTCTACTGAGAAGCAGCCATAACTAGTGTATAGTTGTTATCTGAAGTTTTTAATAACTTCTGTCCATAAGATCATCTGAGAATAAAATAGTGGCTATCTCACATTTCACTTAGTTTACACATCTGCACAGAAAACCAACATGTCACAAAGGGGCAGAAGTATGTACATGAAATAAACTACCAGGCAACAGTTTCTAGTTTCAAAAATTAGTACTGAAGATTATAAATCCAGTAGAAAAGGCTTTAAGCACCACAAAATCAAACCTAGACACATAAACTGCCATAACTACCATATGTGCATATATGTTCACACTTCTTAATCCCTCTCCCCACACACACACCAATTAAGAAATCTATACAACTTTGCATGAAGGTTACATCATGTGGGAAGCCATTAACTGGTATCCCTTTTATAATAGTGTCAGCCATTTTCTTAAGTTTCTATTCCCCTGCTGAGTTAAGTTTATGGTCCTTCTCACCTTGCCCATTCCCCGTGAATCACATGCTATGCCCCAGAGGTGACACTTCCCCGTTGCCTAGATACCTGCTGACCCCCTAGAGCTGAGACTTCCTCATTCCTACACCCCCTATATATACCCAGCACCTCCCCTGAATAAACAGGACTTGATCAGAATCCTGTCTTGTTCCCATTCTTTGTGTCTCCTGTCTCTTCTCATCCCCACTCCCCCTCTAGGGTCCTTGTTGACTAACCCGCGGGTCGGGACAACATCAGGCATCAATGCAGTCCTCATCTCTCTTTATAGGGAAAGAGATTAGTTACTCTCCACCTGCACCTTTAACAAATATTTAAGTAACCACTATGTTCCAGGCATTGTGCAAGAGGGGTTATGAGTTTTCCATATCAATATTGAGGTTTGAAGCCCAACACAGTGCTGTTACAAGGTAACAGAGATGAAGGCTAGCAGCCAAGAAAATTACACATTCACATCTTCACTATGAATTCCAAAGCACACAGGTAAAACGACATAGCAGGGACTAGAATGTAGCTTGGTGACAGAGCCCTTGCCTAGAACACATGGGCTCTGGGGCTTGGTTTCCCCCACCACAGAATATGCACACACAGAAAAGACCAAAAGTAGTTTAATGTGAATTTTGTTCTCTGAAAGTTAATAATCTTGCATAGAATAAAGTCACGCAGATAATGCATCTTCCAAACATAATAAGCCTTGTGCTGTCTGCTGATCTAGGGATTCATCACCAGCTGGTTTCTGTGAAACAGCTATACAGCAGAACTTTTTCCTCTTAAGTGCGATGACCTTTCATTGGAGCTAAAACTTTATGCATGCCAACAAGGGGCTTTGAAACTCAGGTATTTTCCCCAACAGGTGGGGAATGAGAACAATCACTGAGGGAACCCAGCTCCATTTTATTTATTTATTTATTTTTTATTTGTTTTGTGGAACTGGGCATTGAACTCCGGCCCTTGCGCTTGCCAGGCAAGCGCTTACCCTACTGAGCCGTCTTCTGGGCCCCCCAGCTCCATTTTAAGACAATCTAGGCATCAGGTTCAGAACTATGCAGCATCCAGACAATTCTGAAGTACTAGGAAATGGAAGACAAACCCATGTTGAGTCTTGAGCTGGGATCACCTATGTGCCCCAGAGCCCATGTGCAATGGAGTTCTATGTAGACTGTGAATGGGACCATATTTGGAAACAGAGTCTTGCAGATGTAATTGCTATAGTTAAAATGAAGCCACAGTAGAGTCGGGTAAGGCAATCAGTATACAGAGAGAACACCACAGAAGGACAGAGGCAGAGAGAAGACTGATACTGCCACAGCTGGGGGCTGCCTAGAGCCCCCATAAGGTGGGCAGAGGACTCCTTCATAAAAGTGGTGGAGGGAGTGGTGCCCTGATCACACTTTGGCCTTGCACTTCTGGCCTCCAGAAAGAACTGTGGAAAAAGTTTCTGTTGCTTTAATATACCCAATTACAGCGGCCTAGAAAATTCCCCTAAGCCTCTTAATAGCTATTCCTTTGCCCTATGGAGAGCAGCACACGCTCCCCTCCCCCAAGTTTAGCCCTTGAGTTCTGATGAGTGCCTCTCCAGGGTAAGATTTACAAGTGTCAGCAGCAGCACCTGACCTGGTTTCTACAGGTCTTCAGCCCAGTCCCAGCCCTGCTGCTCTCACCCCTCCAGACTGGAGAAATGAGTTTGACCAGCATCACAGGTAGTTCTGAGTTATATGTGTATTTGAGAAGCTTGATCTCAAGAGACTTTAGGGATCTGTCTTACTGTCTTTAGAGATCTGTGATGAGAGAAAAATTATGGCAGACAGGATATGAGTAATTGTAAATGGATGGAGACCTGGGAAGTCTACCGCTTTCCTGATAAAGCAATAAACACCCAGAAAATAATGTAGAAGGCTGCTGCCAGGTATGTGCAGATTATATGCCCCCAAACCAGGTATTTGTTTAATCAACAGCCAGACTTCTTACTGTGGGGTGGGTAGGTGGTACATTCTGATACCTGTCGGAATCCCAAACTGGCTGGGGGCCTGTGTTCTCAGAGAATGCATGAATCTTTTTCATGATAGTGGGATCACAAAATAATTTGGGAAACATATCTCCATGCAGAATGCATATTTATAATTTTACCAAAGTGCGACATAATAGACATATCCTGGACATCTTCCTGAGTCAGCAATCATGGTGAGTATGACAGTCACTCCCCACCTACATGAAATGTGTATGCAGGCTTTAGCTGTGAGGATGTTCTATCACCTAAATGGTCACCTGCTTCACAGTACTTCTTTTTTATCATAAAGGGTAATATGTAGAATAGTAGGCAATATCCTCAGGCCACTTGAAATTGTGGAAGGGTGCATGCTCAGAATGATAAACTGATCACAAAAGCCACACATTCACCCCTGGTCTTCGATGCCCAGCTCACTGAATGCAGCCTCTCAGAGGCACGACCAGTTTGGAGTGGCCCGTGGCCTTGTCACTCAGGTCCACATATGGGCAGTGAACTGCTACTGATCGGAGTACTGCAATGCAAAGTAAAATCGTACACAAGAGGTTTAATTTATTTAATGTGCTTTAATATGTAATTATTTTAAGTTTTATTAATTTCATTGTAAAATTGTAAACAAAACCCTAAAATTGCATGTATAGTGTATATACATTGTACAGACAATTTGTCATTCATTATAGGTACCTATATTTTCTTGGATTTTTATATAACTCATACATTTGAATATATATAGAGAGAGTATTTGTTTTGTCTGTTTTTGCAATAACAGGTATTGAACCTAAGCTATTTCATTGAGCTACATCCCCAGCCTTTTTCATTTTTTTGTTTTGAAATAGAAATTCATTAAATTGCAAAATTGTTCAGGTAGGGGCTGAGCTTGAGGTTCTCCTGCTTTACCCTTCCAATGTGTTATGATTAGAGAAGTCACACAGTTTAATGCCATTTTTATTATCTTTTAAAGAAATTACAGTCTTAATTCTGAGACCAAGCATGTTACATAATTACATTTTATATTTTCATTATTTTACATTACATTGTAACATCTTAAACCCAACAGCGCAGGTCTCCCCCCACCAAACCTGTATGAGTCACCAGGCTATGGGCATATTTTTAAAATTCCCTACCCAATTTATGTAAGTTACACTTTGCTTTTTCTATGTATTCAAGAATGGTATATGATTCAATTTAATTTGTTAATTCGAAACAAATCACAGTAGTACACAACTGTCCAAGGTTGAAAAATTGAAACACTTTGGTTTTTTCTACTTCTTGTGTGATTTAAATGAGTCTCTCTTTCTTGCTCTCCTAAATCCTTCTTTCACTCCAAAGCTTTAGTGGCTGCACATCAAAACCCCA